AGTTTTACTACAGATCCTGACACACTCCTTTCAGATAGATATCGAACTCTAGGTCATCTCAACTCTAACAGAGCCTCACCAAGACACATTATAAAGAATCTGTCGAAAGTCAAGATGAAGGGGAAAATTCTACAAGCAGCTAGGAATAAATGCCAATTGACCTACAAGGCAGAGCCATTAAGTTGATAGCAGACTTTTCAACTTGGAACTTTCCAAACCAGAAGAGCATGGTCATCCACCTTCAACATCCTTAAACAAAATAATTTTCAGCCCAGAATCTTGTATCGTACTAAACTTAGCTTCAAACAGGATGGAGAAATCAAATATTTTGTAGAAATACAAGCACTGAGGAAATTAGTCACAATAAGACCAGCTCTACAGGAAATACTTAGACCTATTCTCAAAACTGAACACCACAATGGACCACCACCAAAGAATACACCTAGAAGCCAAAGGCCAGAGCTTAGCTTCCACAATGGCACAAAGCATAAAACTACACAACAAACTCATAATAAGATGAATAGAATTGAACCACACTTATCAATACTCTCAATAAATGTCAATGGATTGAATTCCCCACTGAAGAGGCATAGGCTGGCTGACTGGGTTAAAAAATTGCAAGCCATCCATATGTTGTCGCCAGGGGACACACCTAACCCTGAAGGACAAATCAAGACTCAGGGTTAAGGGATGGAAAACAGTGTTTAAAGCAAAAGCAAATCAGAACAAAGCAGGAGTTGCAATCTTATTCTCAGATACATGTGGATTCAAAGCAACTTTAGTTAAGAAAGACAAAGAAAAACACTTCATACTGGTCAAAGGAACAATACAAGACAACTCAATTTTAAACATTTATGTACCTAACTTAAATGCTCCCAGATTTATAAAACAGACCTTTAGGGGTCTGAGCAATATGATATCTCAGAAAACCTTAATAGTCGGGGACTTCAACACCCCCCTGACAGAACTGGACAGATCCTCTAAACAAACAAAAAAAAAACCAAGTATACAAAGGACATTAAATGTGACCCTGCAACAAATGGCATTAATAGATATACACAGAACACACCACCCCAAAGCAAAAAAACACATTATTTTTCTCATCAGCTCATGGCACATACTCCAAAATAGATCACGTCCTAGGATACAAATCAAACCTCAGCAAAATTAAAGGAATAGAAATTACACCATGTCTCTTCTCAGACCACCAGGCTATAATGGTGAAAGTTAACTCCAACAAAATTGTTCATTCCCATACAAAGTCTTGGAAACTAGACAATCTTACCCTGAATGATAGCTGGGTCAGGAAGAGATAAAAGAGGAATTTGTTAATTTCCTAAAACACAACAATGATGAAGACACAAGTTACTCAAACCTGTAGGATACAGCAAAAGCAGTTTTGGGAGGAAGAGGCAGGAGAATCACTGGAGCCCAGGAGTTGGAGGTTGCTGTGAGCTGTGATGTCACCGCACTCTACCCAGGGCGACAGCTTGAGGGTCTGTCTCAAAAACAACAAAAAATCCTAGCCAATAGGCTCGGTGCCTGTGGCTCAAGCAGCTAAGGTGCTAGCCACATACACCTGAGCTGGCAGGTTTGAATCCAGCCCAGGCCTGCCAAACAATGACAGCTGCAACCAAAAAATAGCTGGGCATTGTGGTGGGCACCTGTAGTCTCAGCTACTTGGGAGGCGGAGGCAGGAGAATCACTTGAGCCCAAGAGTTGGAGGTTGCTGTGAGCTATGATGCCACAGCACTCTACCCAGGGCGACAGCTTGAGGTCCTGTCTAAAAAAAAAAAACAAAAAAATCTAGCCAACAGATTACAGCCTATCATTAAAAAAGTCATATACTACGATTAAGTAGGATTCATCCTAGGTATGCAAGGCTGGTTTAAGAAATGCAAATCCATAAATGAAATTCACCACATCAACAGAAGCAAAAACAAAGACCACATGATCCTCTCAATAGATGCAAAAAAAGCATTTGATAAAATTGAACATCCTTTTCTAATTAGAACTAGGAAGAATATAGGCATTGGCAGCTCATTTCTTAAACTGATTCAAGCCACCTATGACAAACCCACAGCTAATATTTTACTGAATGGAGTAAAACTGAAAGCTTTTCCACTCAGAACTGGAACAAGACAAGGTTGTCCTCTATCACCACTACTATTCAACACAGTGCTGGTAGTTCTTGCCAAAACAATCAGGCAAGAGAAGGAAATAAAGGGCATCGAAAGGGGGCAGAGGAAGTGAAATTCTCCCTCTTTGCTGATGGTATGGTCTTATACTTAGAAAACCCCAAAGACTCAACCACAAGACTCCTGGAAGTGATCAAAAAATACAGTAACATCTCAGGATATAAAATCAATGTCCACAAATTAGTAGCCTTTGCATATGCCAATAACAGCTAAGATGAGAAGGTAATCAAGGACACAATATCCTTCTTAGCTGCTTCAAAGAAAATGAAATACCTAGAAATATAACTCACAAAAGAGGTGAAGGACCTCTATAAAGAAAACTATGTACCCCTAAGATATTAACAAATGGAAGAACATACCATGCCCATGGCTGGGAAGAATCAACACTGTTAAATGTCTATACTTCCCAAAGCAATCTACAGATTCAATGCCATCCCTATTAAAATACTAACATCATACTTTCACCACTTGGAAAAAATAATTCTTTTTTGTTTGTTTTCTTTTCTGTGTGTGTTTTTGACACAGTCTTACCATATTGCCCTTGGTGGAGTGCGGTGGCATCACAGTTCACAGCAACCTCAAACTCTTGGACTTTAGCAATTCTCTTGCCTCAGCCTCCCAAATAGCTAGGACTAACGGCACCTGCCACAATGCCCCACTACTTTTGTTGCATTTGTCACTGTTGTTTAGCTGGCCCAGGCTGGGTTTGAACCTGCCAGCCTCGGTGTATGTGGCTGGTGCCATAACCACTGTGCTATGGGAGCTGAGCTCAATACAACCTTTTTGGAAGGAAGTATGGAGAATCCTCAAATACTTCAAACCAGAACTCACAGTTGATCCTGTAATCCCATTACTGGGAATCCACTCAGAAGAAAAAAAATCCTTTTACCATAAGGACACTTGCACTAGACTGTTTATCGCAGCTCAGTTTATAATGGTCAAAAGGTGGAAAAGCTTATGCTCATCAACCCAGGAATGGATTAACAAGCTGCGGTATATGTATACCATAGAATATTATTCAGCCACTAAAGAGATTTTACATCTATTGTATTAACCTGGATGGAAGTAGAACACATTATTCTTTTTTTTTTTTTTTTT